GCGTGTTTCTGAAATACATGGCAAATCGTGCATTTTCTGTGCAGATTGCTATTCGTTTGGAAACACACAGATGTGAATGGAGCCTCATTGTTCTGTGTAAACAAACTGATTTCACTTTCAGGGGCCATTCACATCTAGCGCATGTTTTTTTCCAGTGACACACACAGGGCAGATCGTTGATTTCAATGGGCTACGCTACAGAAAGTAGCTCATGGGACATTTTGTCATGGTGCGAGTTTCGTGGTTTTTACTGCACGATTTGCTGCATTTATCACCATTTTTTTCATGTGGCATAATGTGTTTGTTTCTGTGTTTGGTGTGCTGCTAAGAATTAATGACACTGAAAGTACAACTAGGTAATTTTAGGTGTATAAAATCTGGCCATACACTATACAATCTCCTTTGGATTTTCCAATAGGATGACACACCATCTATCCAATCACTCTGTATCCAATCTAGCAGGCCCTTGCACTACATCAGGGGTATCCTGTGGGCTGCATGTGGCCTTAGCCCGTCTGAAGAGACGCTGGGGTAGCCAGGCAGAAGCACGTGTGGAAAGATGCCGGGGATGCTGGGAAAAAAATAGTTGATGGGTGAAGGGCGTGTTTAACCACTTTACAACTGTGCTATAGCCGAATGACGGCTACAGCGCAGTTGTCCAGTTCTGGGTGGATGTCACATGACGTCCTCCCTGAACGCGCCCTTAGCAGCATGCACCCGGCGCTGTCAGTGATCGCTGTGTCCTATGGACACAGCTGATCACATGACTCGGTAAAAGGCCAATCACAGCGGCCTTTTAACACATGATCAGCTGTGTCCAATGACACAGCTGATCACAAAGTAAATACAGTTGCCGGTTATCGGCAGGACTTTCCTCATGCTGTCTCAGCGTAAGGAAAGTGCTGCCGATAACCAGCAAATATTGCAGAGGACACTCGCACTGATAATCAGTGCCACCCACCAGTAACGCCCAGCAGTTGTGCCCATCAGTGCCGCCAGTCAGGCAGCACTGATGGGCACTGATGAGGTGGCACGGATAGGCAGAACTGATGGGCACTGACAGGCTACACTGATGAGATGGCACTGGTGAACACTGATGAGGAGGCATTGACGGGTGGCGCTGACTGACGGCACTGCTCGGCAGAACTGATGGGTGGCACTGATGGGCAGCACTGATGGGAAGCGCTGCTGGGTGGCACTGATCATCAGTGCCGATCTGCTCTGTGACAGCTGCCGGTTATCGACAGTACTTTAGTCACGCTGTTGCAGCGTGAGGAAATTGCTGCCGATAATCGGCAACTGTATTTACTCAGTGATCTGCTGTGTCATTGGACACGGCTGATCTCGTGGTAAAAGACCGTTGTGATTGGCCTTTTACCTCATCATGTGATCAGCTGTGTCCGTAGGAATTTGGTACAATCTTAAGCCACCCATTACAAAATGTAAAAAAACTAAACTAATAGTTTTACAGAACACAGCAACATTTGCCCGTGTAGGACTCTCAAAGGTGGTAGAGGTGATTTATTCTTCCAAAGCAAGCACACTTTTGCAAACTGGTGCAGACTAGTATTCCATTGTTTCTCTTATTCCTCAGTTTCTCTCACTCAGCTAGAGTGACCCCGGTGCTCACGGAGAGGGCCAGGGAAGGGGCAAGCAAGCATGCTGTGCAGGTCCCTGATGTCCTTCTTATCAACTGATGACATCATTGGTTGTTATGTCGCCGGCCGCTAGAAAGTTGTAATGGTGCACAATGAAAACCTGTGGTTTACATGTAAAACTATAAGGCATGCTTCATCCACCCGCTGGCTTGTATACAATGTTTGGGCAATTTTTAGGCATTTTTTTCCAGGCACCCCTGAAGAAACCTGAAGATACCCTAGTTGAAAGAGGAAATTTCGAAATGTTAATTGTGCCTAAGCATCACCATGAAAATATTGTCTGGAATTACTTTTGGAAAGCAGCAATGCACTTCCTAGTATGCGAAGGTGCCTAGGCACACCTGTTCTGTAAAGTGAAAAGGTGAACACCGTGCTTGGGCTAAAATAGTATAGAAGCATCCAGCAAGGACAGTTTTAATAGTCCAACTCTAACAGTAAAATAAATAAGTATGCAGTGCTAAACGTGACAGAATAAATCTGCATTCTTACATTAATAAAACATGAATTAATATCCAATAAATATATAGAAAAGCTAAATCCAATTCATATAACCCCCCTTCACAAAGAAAGCAAAATTCAAATAGCGTTCCTCTGGGCTTCCTTGAAATGGACCCAGCTGCCAAATCAAAGATCTGCATGCGTGTTAATGTCACTTTTGTAGGCCCTACCCCCCTACGCGTTTTGGCAGAGATGATGTCATCTGGGGAACAGGCTTAAAAGCTCCCAATTTATTTTTTGCTTTGTTTGTGAAAGCCTGTTGAGATTGCTTTCATGTGAGTGTAGTATATACATTTTTAATTAATGTTTGGCAAATACTGTTTTACACTATGGAAGCGTTTTTTTGCATTCTATTTTTGAGCCATCAAGCTGCTATTCTGTAATCATGCCCTGGCGGAGAGGAGTACTGATGTAAGAAAGATCCTAACCTCTGTGAATGCTATTTTGACCATCTGTTGTCTCATAATAGTCTCATAATCTGGTAAGGAGCTGCATAATCCTATGGCTGAGGCACTATTATTTTCCTGTGGATCGGGAGTTATGATTTCCAATGGTCCTTTTCAAACACAGGTGTCTACTATTATCTATGAAGATGCTCTGCATCTCTGCACTCACTATTGATTTATTGAGAACTTTTTTTAATTGTATTTAAACACTCTTGGACAGTATTATATGGAACATTTTTTTCACCGTCTCACACCTGTTCTGTAGCCTCATACATTTATATCTGCAGTGGGAGCTCTAAGGCTCCAACATGAGGAATCAAAGCCCTGCAACATGAAAAGCCTTCACCTAAAAGATACAGTACAGAACAGGGCATGGTGAGTCAGTAATGATGGAAAAGATCAGCCTGCTGGGAGACCACATCCAATACTAATGAAAAGTTCTTCACCCTCTACATGCGTTTTTTTTTGGGCACAGCTTCTAGAGTTGATTTCCTCTTTAAATGATCAAGTTGGTCTCCACAAGACACAAGAGAATAAACCCATAATTAGCTGAATGTTTTAGTGTGGATGTTATGGGTAGAGGTCACATCAGACAAATTCATACTTCCAGACCCAACTGTGGCATTTCCTGTTACAAGCTACTACTGCCACCAAACAAATAATAGCCAAGGTCTGAAACTAGCAATGGAATCCCTCAAACCATGCTCCATGAAAAAAGAGGATAGCACCAAAGTGTGGCAGCCCTAAATCGACAAGCACACTGCTACCTGGCTTCGATTATATTCTCCTGAAACCATAGTGCCCCCACTTTTACTACACTGTAGGCATAGCACCCAACTGTCCTTCCTATGAGACCAATCCCTCTATCCCCCGTGCAGTCTCAGTTGACCCCTTTTTGTTCTAATGTATACTGTGCATCTCTATATAAAATGTACTATTTTACTGCTGCCTCTTACTGCTAGTTTTAGGTGATTTGGAGTGGGATTTAGTGATATCGCTCCTGTGCAGCTCTTTGTTCTCTTTGCTGGAGGCTCCAACAAGCACTGCCACCTGGCTTTGATTATATTCTCCTTGAAACCATAGTGCCCCACTTTTACTACACTGTAGGCATAGCACCCAACTGTCCCTCCTATGAGACCAAATCCCTCTATCCCCCGTAGAGTCTCAGTTGTCCCTTTTTGTTCTAACGTATACTGTGCATCTCTATATAAAATGTTACTATTTTACTACCAAACATGTTATGCTACACTAAAGGTTTTAGCCAACCTCTATATTATTGCATTTGCCAAAGTTAGTATAAAGGGAAAAAAAATTAGGTAAAAAAGCTCTTGTATGGTTTATCCAATCATTTTTCTACATATGAGATCTTTGTGGTCCATGTAACTGGATCTGTGGCAGAGACGTGTCCTTTGTGTCAATACTGTGTACTAAAAGATGTCTCTCTTTATCATTTCATAAGTTGGGAGTTATGCTGTATGGGCTCCTATGTCCACTGCACTACTATGGCCTCCCACTACCCCAAACCTCCAGGACTTCCCTACCCTCCCATGCCCTATCCCCTGTCTAATTTTTCACTTTTTCTTCCCCTCTCCTCCGGTTTTCCTTGCTCATTTAACTCAATGTTTGCACATTCTCATGTTAGCAATGGTATACTTTACTGCATTATATATATAAAATACTACTGTACCCAAATGTATCTGCAGGTGCACATGTACCACTACTGTAACTTTCCCTTAATGTTTAAAAGTTGTTGTAAACCCCTACATATATAGTCAAGTAACTGGCAGCAGGTGATACACAGAGATTAAACAAATCCATCTACATAAGTTGTACCTGTTTATCTGCACTCTTCTCTTCTCGACATACGTTCAAAGTGCTGAAATTGTACAGCTTGTCTGACAGTTCAGAAAAAAGGGGGCGGAGAGCAAAAATAACACACTGCAGAGCTCAGTTAGGAGAGCTCTGAGAGCTGATTGGAGGGAAGAGACACACCCCTCACTCACACAGCTCACAGGAAGACAGCTGAGGCTGTCAATCTGCTCATGGTCAATCTCCCCTGTAACCATTTTTCTCTTGGTGTCAGGAAAATTTGTGACTCATGACTGATGCTGATAGCAGAGGAATGAAGCAGCAGACAGAAATGACACTTAGTGCTCTGGATTAAGGGACAAGTACACACTGTGAAAGGATATACTTTGTTCATATTCCATGTCTGAGGTCTACAACAACTTTAATTAAAAACATTGAAGAAACCAAGACTTCCCAGTGCAGAAATGGATTAATAACATATAGATACACGGATGATAATATAGAACACGGCTTTAATAATCCTGTATTACTTTTGTATTGGGGATGAAATGTGGTCTGAACAGCGTGTCTGTATGTTTGAAGGTATCTGTCAGATCTTCAGGGCTCTCTTCTGACAAATCCAGCTGTGTTTGGATTGACAGAGATCCTTATTATATCCAGACTTCGCTTCCCGCCATACACAGTTTCCTGAAGATCCTAATAGCTGAAATCTGAGTAATAAAGAACAATAAGTAATTATGAGGATCTATTGTTTTCTGGATGACAAACTTCATATTTATAGTGTAGCTGTAGCACCCTCCTGATAGGTTGCTAGGTATTAGGAAAATTTAGCTATTTTGGCTCTGTAGGTTTGATTGTGCCCCCCTATCTACTGGTGGATTCTAGAATGTACAGTCAGGTCGATAATAACTATTGGGACATTGAGACAATTCTAACATTTTTGGCTCTATACACCACCACAATGGATTTGAAATGAAAAGAACAAGATGTGTTTTTAATGCAGACTGTCAGCTTAAATTTGAGGGTATTTACATCCAAATCAGGTGAACGGTGTAGGAATTACAACAGTTTGCATATGTGCCTCCCACTTGTTAATAAGGGACCAAAAGTAATGGGACAGATTAATAATCATAAATCAAACTTTCACTTTTTAATACTTGGTTGCAAATCCTTTGCAGTCAATGACAGCCTGAAGTGTGGAACGCATAGACATCACCAGACGCTGGGTTTCATCCCTGGTGATGCTCTGCCAGGCCTCTACTGCAACTGTCTTCAGTTCCTGCTTGTTCTTGGGGCATTTTCCCTTCAGTTTTGTCTTCAGCAAGTGAAATGCATGCTCAATCGGATTCAGGTCAGGTGATTGACTTGGCCATTGCATAACATTCCACTTTTTTCTCTTAAAAAACTCTTTGGTTGCTTTGCTTTTGCAGTCTGCTTTGGGTCATTGTCCATCTGCACTGTGAAGCGTCCAATGAGTTGTGAAGCATTTGGCTGAATATGAGCAGATAATATTCCCGAAACACTTCACAATTCATCTGGCTGCTTTTGTCAGCAGTCACATCATCAATAAATACAAGAGAAGCAGTTCCATTGGCAGCCATACATGCCCACGCCATGACACTACCACCACCATGCTTCACTGATGAGGTGGTATGCTTAGGATCATGAGCAGTTCCTTTCCTTCTCATACTCTTCTCTTCCCATCACTCTGGTACAAGTTGATCTTGGTCTCATCTGTCCATAGGATGTTGTTCCAGAACTGTGAAGGCTTTTTTAGATGTCGTTTGGCAAACTCTAATCTGGCCTTCCTGTTTTTGAGGCTCACCAATGGTTTTCATCTTGTGGTGAACTCTCTGTATTCACTCTGGTGAAGTCTTCTCTTGATTGTTGACTTTGACAACACATACACCTACCTCCTGGAGAGTGTTCTTGATCTGGCCAACTGTTGTGAAGGGTGTTTTCTTCACCAGGGAAAGAATTCTTCGTCGGTCACCCACCACAGTTGTTTTCCGTGGTCTTCCAGGTCTTTTGGTGTTGCTGAGCTCACCGGTGCGTTCCTTCTATTTAAGAATGTTCCAAACAGTTGTTTTGGCCACGCCTAATATTTTTGCTATCTCTCTGATGGGTTTGTTTTTTTTTTTCAGCCTAATAATGGCTTGCTTCACTGATAGTGACAGCTCTTTGGATCTCATCTTGAGAGTTGACAGAAACAGATTCCAAATGCAAATAGCACACTTGAAATGAACTCTGGACCTTTTATCTGCTCATTGTAATTGGGATAATGAGGGAATAACACACACCTGGCCATGGAACAGTTGAGAAGCCAATTGTCCCATTACTTTTTGGTCCCTTAACAAGTGGGAGGCACATATGCAAAACTGTTGTAATTCCTACACCGTTCACCTAATTTGGATGTAAATGCCTCAAATTAAAGCTGACAGTCTGCAGTTAAAGCACATCTTGTTTGTTTAATTTCAAATCCATTGTGGTGGTGTAATAGAGCCAAAAATGTTACAATTGTGTCGATGTCCCTATTTATTTATGGACCTGACTGTAGTTGGCAAATCAGCAGCCTGAATGTTGTCTCAGCCAATCTCCAGGGGTAGGGTGTGCCCAGTAGGTGTCTGGGCGGGAGTACATAGATAGTCTGGGCCCAAACAACCTGTCCTCCTGCAGTAAGAGAAGTGCCCAGCCTAGTTGAAGTTCTACATATGCTCATCGACGAGGTCCCAGTTAGGTCAACTTTTGAACTAATTGAGGGATTTCACTGGGAATCTGGTCCTGGAGAGCTCACAGGTGAATATCTCTCTCTTATTGGAAGGAAGCCTCCAGTTATCCAGGTACATTGTGAGTACAGACCTGAGTCTAGGATCCTAGTGACTGCCTGTTTTTCCTTTGTGCACAAGTGCCAGTGGTTACTCTGACTGGGAAATTTCCTACCAGTAACCCGGTGCTGGCCATGCTGTAAAAAAATGCTCTGGGCTGCATATACATAGTGAAGAGTGTCCTTCTGTTACTACATGGTGTTACTGGAGTTACCCCCATACTTTACTACACCCCATCCAAGTTTAACTTGCAATAAAGCATAAAAAGACCAAACAGCCCCCTCGACTGTTCAATTGAGCCAGGAGGAGTGACTGTTGCTGTGTGCCTTTGCACTCATCTGGGCAAAAGAACTTTGCTCAAACAGTGGCTCCTTAGTGCTACATAGATTGAAGAGTTACTTACAGGCTGGTATTATAGAGCTGACCATCCACCCATCTCCATCCATCTCCATTCTCTGTACACACGATCCAGAACAAATTTATATGGTGATGCTTTGCTGAATCTATTTATAATAGTCCTGGGAAAACAGAACATCATCTGTCACAATCCAGTAATAACAGACATCAGACACACTCATTGGATAGAAGTCTGAAGACTTCGTTATTAAAGAGCTCTATTGTGGACAAATGTCACCAGAAAGTGATCCATGAACAGGAATTATTCATCAGTTTCCTCTTATATTCTATTGGAAAAACACAATCATTTATATTATAATAAACAGAATTAGCACTCACCTACCTTTCCCAACAACCCAAAGAAATCAGCTTAAACAGTCCTTCCCCTGAAGTACACTCAAAAATTGTTACAAAGAATTAGTGATAAGTAGACTTTAGACTTATTTAGTGATAAGTAGAATTGAAACAAACCCATATACAGTATCAATACACCTACAATTCAAATTAAAGTCAATTTAAGTCCAAAGAAAAATTCTTGCAGGTGATTTCACAATCATTGATATCCCCGAATAAGATTGATGGTATACTCCAGAAAATCTTCATATACCTCAAAAACAAAAACATTCTCAACATAGTGTATTATCCAAGGTATTATAAATATAGTGCCACACGTGTCACTTGAAACTAAAGTGCCACAGCAATCGTGAAAATGTCAGAACTCCAACAACTCGATTAATGAATCCACTGCACACATATAAGAAGTGCATAATTACCCTAAACATAGACAAAATCAGCATAGGGTCTATAATACAGATGAAATGGCTTCCAAGCTTTAGTCTACCATCTTCTCCAAAGACTTCCCATGAACCTCAATGGATAGACCAGGGATCAATATATATATTAAATAACCAATAATTTTTATTGTAGCAACTTACATTAAAATTCGATGAGAACAGCTTTCCATATAATGAGCACAACATGTCACGATTCATCAGCGGTAGCTATATGGTCAAATCCATACCACTCTGAAGGAGGGCCGGGTGTAGTAGATGGAAGTTTCCAGGGTGAGAACAACGGCGTGTCCCGGAACCCAAAAATGGCCACCACGATTACTTCCGGAAAAACGTCAATACGTCACGTGCCCCGGACGCGTTTTCGTCACATCCGGACTTTTTCAACAAGGGATACGGACGTGTGTGCTAACTCGCTAATAAATACCCATGACTGGAGAGAAACCCAAGCCGCGGCCATCTTACATTCTGGAAAACCAGATATATATACCCTTATGTCCCAGGATCCACTCGGCTAGCGAACAGGCAATCTATCCACATTAGCCACCCTATATGCCCTGGCCACAAACGTATATTTTTAAAAACATTAACCTGTCTATGGTACAGGTGACATCGTCGATAACGGCCATTCATAACAGACTGACATATAAATTTAATAGAAAAAGCATCAAATAAAATATTACATTAAATAAGGGATCAGAGCATTACTACACCTTGATACTTCCATCTCCAACCCATCTCCCTATTACAATATAAAATACCTAAAATACTTTATACATATGACCACCAAATTTCATACTAAAATCTAGTCAAAAAATTATTTAAATTCAAAATAAAAATAAATACCAAAATAAAAATAATAAAAATAAAACATAAAATAAAAAAATGTTTTTTAAAAATCTAAAAAATAAAAAAATATATATAAAAAAAAAACACATAAAAAAATTTCAAATAATAAAAATAATACAAATTATTATAAAAATTTTTTTAACAAGAATATTTTTACATAGAAGGAAAACCTCCTTATATTATTACTGAATTCCCATACAAAAAAAAACAGTAAAGAACTCTTCTCACAAATTAGACTACTCTACTGATCAGAAATGAAACAGTTAAGATCTAGCTCAATATTGAGACCCCTGGGTTGCAGGGTATTCAAAACCTGTAAATCCAGAAGGTCTCATTCTTAGATATCTCCTGCACCCTATTGCACCCCCTCCAATGGGAATCCAATACATCAATGCCACAGTAACAAAATATCAATAAGCTAGGATCTGAATTTTGAAAGTCACGGAAATGATGCTTAGATGCACTATGCTCTTTCTTTCCTTGTTATTACATTTTCAACATGTTCGTAAGTCTGACTTTTAAGTCCCTTTTTTGTTCTACCAAACATATTGAATATTACAAGGGCATTCTAGTAAATAGGTCACATATTTCATTAATTACAAGTAATACATTTGTTTATTACAAAATGTTTCTCCCCGTAACAGAAGATTTGAAGAACGCTGTAATTCTTCCTCTGACTTTCAGGGGGGACCCTGTAATTTTACATATCTTACATTTTTTGCAAAGGGAAAAAAACCTGAAATCCAAACATTTTTAATTTACTGGGGGGGTTTTTTAGGTAGACTCTTTGCTAAGATGACATCTTATCTGTAATAGGGACCAATGTTTACTACAAATGATATTTTCCACTCCTTGTACTGGCAGGCTAAATTTGGAAATTAAAAGGCAAAATTCCACCACATTATTCACCTCAACCTCCAAATGTTTTTTTCTACTATTTTCTCTTCTTCTTCCCATCCCCTAAATAATTCAGACTTACTTTATGTATCTAATTTTTTCCAATTGTATAGGGTCATAGCCTTTGGAAACAAACCGTTTTTTTTATCAACTCAGATTGCACAATATCAATCATCCAATCTGGAACAGTTCCTCATAACGCGGGTAAAACTGGCCTTTTGGGATCCCCGAATCCACAAGGGATGGTGACAGCTGCTAGTTGGAATGTTACCCATTCCTATTGGTTTCCTTAAAGAAAGTTTTGAAACACGTTTATTCTCAAATTTTGAAAATATGTTGATCCAAGAAATTTACCATTCCGTACTCATATTAAAGGTAAAACCTAAATCATATTTATTCATACGGATATGGTCTAAAAAAATCCTAAGATCCAAATCAGTTCCATCCCATACTATCAAAAATATCATCAATAAACGCCTCCAGACTTTTAAGCCAACCCAGTTCTTTCCAAAAATTTCAGAATCCCCCCCATTTGGCCAAAAAAATATTGGCCAAACTGGGGGCATATTTGGCACCCATTGCTACACCCCCTCTGCTGGATAAAGAATTCTCCTTTATACCAAAAATAATTATTCCTCATACTAAAATCTAATAACTGTATAATAAGTTTCCTTTGTTTTCCATGGAGTTCAGAAAACTTCTGCAAACCCCATTTAATGGCCTCCAGGCCATCTGAATGTTTGATATTGGTATAAAGGGAATTAACGTCAATGGGTAACCAACAAGGTATCTCCAGTAACCTCTATTCCCTCTAATAGATCTGTTATATCCTGACTATCTTTAACATACGAGGGCATCTGTTTTACAATGGGCTGTAGAAAAAAATCCACATATTGGCCTATCCTAGAATGTACAGAGCCGATCCCATTAATAATGGGTCTACCCGAAGGGTTCTTAAGATTTTTATGTATCTTCGGGAGGATATAAATAAAAGGAATACGGCAAAACGATGGAACTAAAAAACTGTGCTTCTTTATCATTCAAAATATGGTCATCCCTAGCAGTATTATTTATTTTCTTCAACGCCTTTCTATATTTCAATGTAGGATTTTTTTAGGATCTTACAGTATGTGATTGAATCGTTCAGGATATTTGACATCTCCTCCTCATACTGTCTTCTATCCATCACGACCACCTCCACCTCCCTTATCCACCGGTCTGATAACAATTTCTTTCCTATTCTTCAGACTACTCAAACCCTGATACAGTGATTTTTCTTCCTTTACCTTCTTATATTCCAATTCATATAGATCATCAATAATCATACGTTTAAATACCTCAATATATTGGTTCCTAGAATTAACAGGGTTAAACGTGGATCTATTCCTAAGATTACTATGAGCAAACATCGACCTACTCATATAATTGGCTGCAGTGGTGGGACCAGGAAGAGACAGAAAAATATTTCTTAATATTTAATTTTCTAATAAATGTATTAATATCTATAAATATTCCACAGTTATTGAGATTTCCTTTAGGTGCAAACTTTAAACCCTTGTCTAATAATTTAATCTAATTTTCAGTGAGATCTACAGAGCTCAGATTATAAATCCCCTCCTCAACATTTCTTTTCTTTTCCTTTTGTTTGAATTCTCCTCCTGGGGGGACAATCCACTGCCCTCAGATAATATGGTTTGGCTACTTCCTCTTTGCTCTGATGTGGACCATACTCTCCCTCTCTCCTGTAAAGTGGGATTCCAATATGGTTGGGCTTACTTCCTCTTTGCTCTGATGTGGACTATACTCTCCCTCTAAACCTCTATCCATTGAGGTTTATGGGAAGTCTTTGGAGAAGATGGTAGACTTAAAGCTTGGAAGCCATTTCATCTGTATTATGGACCCTATGCTGATTTTGTCTATGTTAGGGTAATTAATGCACTTCTTATATTGTGTGCCGTGGATTCATTAATCGAGTTGTTGGAGTTCTGATGACATTTCACGATTGCTGTGGCACTTTAGTTTGTGTTGCATGTGACACATGATTACCTTGGATAATACACTATGTCGAGAATTTTTTGTTTTTGAGGTATATGAAGATTTTCTGGAGTATACCATCAATCTTATTCGGGGATATCAATGATTGTGAAATCACCTGCAAGAATTTTTCTTTGGACTTAAATTGACTTTAATTTGATTGTAGGTGTATTGAATACTGTATATGGGTTTTGTTTTCAATTAAGTCTACTTATCACTATTTTGTAACACAATCATTTATATGTCTATTTTTTTTACTAAAGTAATTAAAGACCACCACCCAGGAAGGCATCATTCCAATAGTACCCAGCACCATCACAACGTAGAATGGAGGATCTTTTTGGTAGATAAAATTGTTACTGTCTATGGATAAAGGACGTTTTCTGACTGCTGTCTATGTGTAACCAGAACGTAGCAGAGAATCCTGTTACATAAAAGAGAAATTAGAATTTTTTGGCACATAAGCAGAAGTCTTGAACCGTTCCATAATGGGGGAGATTTAAGCCGGCCATACACAGGTCGAATTCCAAAATAATTTTCTTTCGAAAAAT